ACTGCAGCTTAATAGTGCATTTGGCCTCTAATTTATTGCATAAATAATTATAGCGTAAAGTAATTTGCCGTACAATACAAAGACCCGGTTATTATTATTTGAAATTTACTGATCTATGAAAACTTTCCAACACATACTGCTTATTATAAGCAAACATAACTGTGTTTTTAGATAATCACAGGATTTGTTTAGAAAAGTGAAATGTTTTCGTTTTAATGTCGCATATATTCGCTAATATTTTACTTTGAAAATTCTGATGATTTAATTTTAGAAAACTAATTGTCGCCCAGTTTTGTGACAAATAAAACGGAACTTGATTTACAAATGCAAACAATAGAGAGTGTAAATGAGAATTGCATTGAATTATGGTATATGAGGCCAATGTTGGCACCGGTATGTGTTTGGCCGCTATACTCCCTATTCATTCATTAGTGTTAATCCTATTATAGATAATTAATTCTCGTCAGCCCTACCCCTCCGTCGTTTGCTATTCAAACTTTTCTCTCCGCTTTTATTACTTTAAAATTGACTTTGAAATCAAGTCAATAGTTTGTCAAAAATAAACGCAATGTCACACACACACTGTCCTTAATGAATTTTCGAATAATATATTATATGACAAAAAATATATGTCAAAATTTTTCATCACTTTCATTACACGTAACTTTACAACTACTTATGTTGAATACTAGTATAAGACTATATGTATTATAATTACAATTTGCATAACAAACAAATTGTGTGCAAACATAAGCATTCAAACCATAAGCAGATATGCATTATAAGCACTATTCCTGCAAAGGCTTAAGAATCGGCTAAACAGTGTTCAACTCTTCATACCATATATCACTCCATATAACTGCAATACAAAGTGTTTAGTCTATTGTAAGGCAAGCAAACCAACAATATTGCAATAATACAGTACACTCTACAGTACAATACACAGTGTACTGTTGTAAAGTGTATTACATAAGTGCTGTATAGTGTACTGACAGTGTGTTCACTATAAATGCAGTGATGATGTGCTGTGAGTGTCATCTGTGGAGCACAGGTTGTGAGCATAGGCTGTGAGCAGTGGTGTTGAGCGCATGCGTGCGTTGGGTTCAGTGTAGAGACAAAGAGTGATGCATTGAAAGCAATGGTCGATAGTATTAGTGCTTAGTATTGATTGTATGATAGACTGAATGTACGACTCATTTGAATCACTCATTCATTCATTGATTTGGTTTGCAATCAAAACATAAATAATACACAAAACAACTTCACTTCAAACCATACAATCATTTCATAATGTTTTGCTTTTGATTACTATTGCCAGTCATTCAAAGCCTGTATTTGTTGTCATTATTGCCATCACTTGTGGAGACAAACGGAGAGCAAAACAAATGTAATTATCAATTGATATATGATTTGAATTGTTTGTCATTCGTGTGATTGAATTGATTTCTCGCAACAGATCAGCCATTGAGATGAAGAGCGAGTCGTTGGCCGACAATCAGATGGACTCGTGTGAGACAAGCATACAATCCATACCGCCATCGATGCCATCGACGCCATCGACGCCCGCATTAATGGTGGACAGTATGTGTCAAATGAACGGCAATTCGCCTATCATTGAGTCATCACTAGAAGCGGATCCAAAGGTGGGCACAAATAGTTGGACTATTGAGACACCAGNCGTTTTAATGTCACATATATTCGCTAATATTTTAATTTGAAAGTTCTGATGATTTAATTTTAGAAAACTAATTGTCGCCCAGTTTTGTGACAAATAAAACGGAACTTGATTTACAAATGCAAACAATAGAGAGTGTAAATGAGAATTGCATTGAATTATGGTATATGAGGCCAATGTTGGCACCGGTATGTGTTTGGCCGCTATACTCCCTATTCATTCATTAGTGTTAATCCTATTATAGATAATTAATTCTCGTCAGCCCTACCCCTCCGTCGTTTGCTATTCAAACTTTTCTCTCCGCTTTTATTACTTTAAAATTGACTTTGAAATCAAGTCAATAGTTTGTCAAAAATAAACGCAATGTCTGTGTGTGTGACAGGAATTACTTAAAAGCTTATTATATAATATACTGTTTTTTATATACAGTTTTAAAAAGTAGTGAAAGTAATGTGCATTGAAATGTTGATGAATACAACTTATGATCATATTCTGAATATGTATTATAATTACAATTTGCATAACAAACAAATTGTGTGCAAACATAAGCATTCAGACCATAAGCAGAATCTGCATTATAAGCACTATTCCTGCAAAGGCTTAAGACTCGGCTAAACATTGTTCAACTCTTCATACCATATATCACTCCATATAACTGTAATACAAAGTGTTTAGTCTATTGTATGGCAAGCAAACCAACAATATTGCAATAATACAGTACACTCTACAGTACAATACACAGTACACTGTTGTAAAGTGTATTACATAAGTGCTGTATAGTGTACTGACAGTGTGTTCACTATTGCTACGTCACTACTACACGACACTCACAGTAGACACCTCGTGTCCAACACTCGTATCCGACACTCGTCACCACAACTCGCGTACGCACGCAACCCAAGTCACATCTCTGTTTCTCACTACGTAACTTTCCAATGGTCGATAGTATTAGTGCTTAGTATTGATTGTATGATAGACTGAATGTACGACTCATTTGAATCACTCATTCATTCATTCGTGCGTTGGGTTCAGTGTAGAGACAAAGAGTGATGCATTGAAAGCAATGGTCGATAGTATTAGTGCTTAGTATTGATTGTATGATAGACTGAATGTACGACTCATTTGAATCACTCATTCATTCATACATTGATTTGGTTTGCAATCAAAACATAAATAATACACAAAACAACTTCACTTCAAACCATACAATCATATAATCATATAATAATGTTTTGCTTTTGATTACTATTGCCAGTCATTCAAAGCCTGTATTTGTTTTCATTATTGCCATCACTTGTGGAGACAAACGGAGAGCAAAACAAATGTAATTATCAATTGATATGTGATTTGAATTGTTTGTCATTCGTGTGATTGAATTGATTTCTCGCAACAGATCAGCCATTGAGATGAAGAGCGAGTCGTTGGCCGACAATCAGATGGACTCGTGTGAGACAAGCATACAATCCATACCGCCATCGATGCCATCGACGCCATCGACGCCCGCATTAATGGTGGACAGTATGTGTCAAATGAACGGCAATTCGCCTATCATTGAGTCATCACTAGAAGCGGATCCAAAGGTGGGCACAAATAGTTGGACTATTGAGACACCAGTGGAGACGACGACGAGTCAGCCGACGATGATATCGACCAACGGTTCCGTATCTGTTGAACAACAAACTCAAACCGATCTCATCGACGACTGTCCGCAGCTGAACGGCGGCTCATTAGTGAGCACCGCATCCACACAATCACTCATTCAGAGCACTATCAATGCAAACACCAATTCATTAAACAATAGTTCACTAAATAATAATAATTTAGTTAATAATAAAAGCAATTGTATTTCAAACGCAACTAATGGGAATCACAGCGTGAGTACGTCGACGACAACCGCTCCGACATGTTTGGTGGCCAACAATAGCGTCGATTTGCCAAAGATTACGACAAACACGACAACCAGTCAAACAAATACTGCTAACAATCCAAATCTGAATCAACCCAAACGTCTTCACGTCTCTAATATTCCCTTTCGCTTCAGAGATCCCGACTTAAGACAACTCTTTGGGGTAAACATACCATTCAATTATATCGTTTCACTTTTCAAACACTTCTCCTTGTGTTCACTAAACGCTACCCAAATCTCCCATTTCTCCGCAATTCTCTGCATTTCATTTACTTTAGGTTTTTGTTTTCTTCTGCTTTTAATCTCCTTTTTTCACACAAGAGTTGGTTTGATAACAAAGGCTAACATCTCTGTTAGTAAATCCCTAATTGTTGTAATAATCAATTTAACAGTTATTTGCTTCCAAACAAAGTCTCTTAGTTTGAGATAATAATTAAAATGTTTTCTATGTCTAAGTCTCTCAACATTGAAAGCTGTGAATACATTGTGTGAATATATGGCTTTTTATACCATATATAACAGTATAACCAGTTTTTGGTGCTTTACTTGCGTTTCGATTCACTAATTCATCTCATTCTCCAATCTTTCGATTAAATGTATCCAACATTTGAATTGGACTTTATTTTAATTAATTCAATGATTGATTCACTTTATTTGAATGCAATTTGTTTTTTCCTTTCTCTTTGACAGCAATTCGGACCCATTCTTGACGTCGAGATTATATTCAACGAAAGAGGATCTAAGGTATAGTTTTTTTATTACCTCTCTCTCTCTCTCTCTCAACCCAGCTCTGCCTCCCTCTCCCTTTATCTCCTATATATTTGTTAAGAATAGCTTCTCTTTACTGTTATATGAGTATTGAAGGAGTCGTTCCGGACGTATAGTTTGTTGAATCTATATATTGTTCGACAATAAGTTTTGGTTGAATTCATTTTAAATCCTATGAGAAGTGCTTCTCATTTGCTATATCTATACTTTTTATTATTTTTCTCGTATTTATTCTTTGTTTTATTTTTTGTTCAAAGATTTACTCAATTTCTTGTAAACTCTTCCCCTCTTTTATCCCTCGCCTCTTATATCTTTCAATTGTCGTTATTTTTATTCAAAACTTAAAGTCAATAATTACTGATTTCTATTGTCTGTATTTTGTGAGTTTTGAGTGTATTTATTAGCTTTGAAGCCTATCGATGGCTCAAATATTGCAGTCTTATAGGCATTATTGTTACATAAGAGTTAGTTGTATAAGAAAATGGTTTTGAACAGATGTCGGCACACATTTGTTGAAATCACAATCTCTTTGTACATTTGATTTTTTCTTTTGTTTTTTATAGCTTAAGCTTTCATGCATTATAATAAGAAATACCGATAATAAGCGCTTATATAGTGATGTTTAGCGAGAGTTGTGTTCTTCCCCTCCTCTTCCAACTCCTGTGTTCCCATCGTTTGTATATAAAAGAGTGACTCAAATGCTAAACAGATGTTTCAAACCTAAACACAACACCAAAAATATTTTAGACTAATTTTTTTCTTCTCTTTTAAGTCGTCTTCTTATTGAGTCAAATAAGAGCTCACTTTTCCTCTCAAATCACTAAAACGCTATTTAAATATAGAAAAAACATAAGAAAATGTGCGAAACAGATGTTTGCAAAACTAGAACCCGATTCAATTTTTTTCCCACTGTTTTATTATTTAATACATTTCAAGGATTGGTTTCAATTTTTTTAATTGTTTTTTATGAGAAAATTTGGTGACAATGTGTTTGTTGTAAAATATAGGGTTTTGGTTTCGTTACGTTCGCGGCGAGCGCTGACGCGGACAGAGCTCGTGAACAATTGAATGGGACGGTAGTGGAGGGCCGGAAGATTGAAGTAAACAATGCGACGGCAAGGGTTCAGACAAAGAAACCGACGCCCACTGCCATCATAACCAACGGTAAAGAATTTGGTTTTGTCACTAAATTTAGGTTTAGTTTAATATTATATTTTAGTTAAATAAAATGAAAATATAATTAACGCAAAGCGCACAACACATCCAATATTATTATTCTCTCCGTTATTATTATGAGTCCATAAATCAATTGAGTTAAAGGTTTTGTCATAAACTGAATGCAAGTTTTGTGGCCATAAATTAGCGTTCAGTTTGAATGAGAATCGATTGAATAAATAGATTCCTTTATATCTGAAAAAGGCGTTTAGAAAATATTGTTTGAATTAATGTCTAAATGCTATATTGAATGGTTGGAGGAGTCATTGAAAACTCTAAACAATTTCTAATTTTAATCAATCAATCAGTTGTTTGTTATGTTATAAATAAAAAAAGAAAAACTCAAAAATTGCAATTATTATCTACAGTATATATACAAGTGCTGTATATATCACACCAACAAAACAAGAAAAATTGAGAATTTATTTTTTTGGCACAAATTCCTGTTAACCCATAAGTCCTATAACTGTCAGACAATTAGATTTGTATTCAAAAATAGAACAAACGCTTAAATAATTGACAACAAAACAGATTTAATATATAATTCACAATACAGTGTATGTGTTTTAGTCTATATTTGCTGTATATCTGAATGCACGTCAATTTACATTCATTTCCCCGTTTAATGCCTTTTAATATGAACTAAGTTTTGTTGGGAACCAATTATCGGAACAATTCCTTATTTACTGTCGGCTGTTGTTAATAACTATTGCTTGAAAGCACTGAACATTATTCTAATGTACTTTTGGACGCAAATCGTTTGTATGTTTGTCTATATATTTATCCACAAAATCTATTCTTTAATCAATTTAATGAACGATTAAATAACACTTTTTCCGGAGAAAAGAAATATTCAAATCAAATGCAAAACATTTAAACACTTATTTTACTGATTGAGATGACAATGAAGACTGAAATGAAACACCAATTGGGCTGAAACTGACTGAGGAATGCGGGGTTTTCTCTACTTATTACTTATTGAGCGCCAAATTTGCACAAAACTATTCTTAATTTCCACTCAAATCTAATCAAATGACAATCTTTTGCAACAGACAGACAAATATGTTTCAAATAATGTCATGTTTATTGCTCTCAATCTCTTTAAAACACTAACTACACAGTACTGTACTGTACAGACTATAGTAGTATATTGTAGTCTATTTTGGCATCTTTTCCTAAATTCTCTTATTCTGTGTTTTATTTGCATTTTATTTCGTTTTCTTATTCATTATTAACGCATTCTTTAGAATTTTTATACTAATTTTAATTTACAAACATTTGACACTTGATATAATTTGGTTACATTATTACAAACCAATTGCTTTGTTGTATGCGTGTCTCAAATGTAGTCAATGCAAACAAACCTATAGAGATAGAGATATTGTGTCCGTTTTGGTGAATCAATTGTTGTCTTATTAGACATCACATCAAATACACACTTTCGCAGACAATGTTTTGCCAATTCATTGAAAATCCACTATTATTTGCACTCAAATCAAACAATCTCTACACTACTGTATGTTTATATCAATATACTGTCTAACACTATATCTCTATCTAACATCACATAATAACAACTGTATTCCATTCCTTCATAAATATATCCCTTTTTCTTATTATCTGTTTTTTGTTGAAATTTTTATTTTGATGTCATATTATATTTTCTATCACTTTATTCTCTTTCACGTCAGAAGTTTGCTTTGATTTATTGCAATCTCTTTATCTTCTATTATAAAAACTTATATTTATGTCATTTTCATAACTCCTATTAATATGAATACAAAATACAATAAGAAAAACACATAATAAGTGTTAAGAAACGCTTTTCTTTTCAAATGTCTGTTGCATTGTTTAGTCCCAAAGAAAATGGACTTAATTTATCAGTGCTTTTATTGCTTCTAATTTCTGGTGCTTTACTTTTATTAAGTTTTGGTTTTATTGGGTTTTAATGCACTCTGTTTTGCGTCGATTCACAACATTTGTACATATATTTAGGTTTTGAAACATTTGTTTGATATAATTGGGAATTGATTTACAAATTTTGATAACATTTCACTAAAATTACATTAATATAACAGTACAAGAGTTGTTGAATATTGTATTTTAATTCCCATTATATAAATAATGTGTTAATTTTAATCTATATTAAGTGTTATGCGTTTTTGAATAAAACTGGTGTCGAATATAATCGGAAAAATGTTTTATATGTAACTATTTCTCCTGTTTTGGTCTTTTAATCAATGATTTGAAAAGTTTTTAATTTGAAAGAATTTAACAAAATATGTTTCACCACTTTGTTAACAATGACTGCATGTGTTTCTATGATATATTTTCATTTGCATAATACGTTTGCATAAAACATAAATTTTGAAAACAAAACCAGAAATGATTTGTTAATGATTTGGTTCTTCTATATTCTCTTGTCTTGTATTGCCTGATGACTGATTGGTTCGGGAATATTAATAATGCAATAAAACAAATACAAACAATATGTAAACATTGAGTAGTGGCCGCCTTGAGGGGCGTAGCGATACAAAGAGGCACGAGGGTCGCACGGGCCGGCACACTGGCCGCCGCCGCAGCATTTGCAAGACACCCTTCTCCACTAACTCAAGCAGCCGCTGCCACAACCTTGCATGGTTATGCTGCCACCCCGTAAGTCTCATTATACATTCTCAATCATCAACTCTCTCTCTCTCTCTCTCTCTCTCTC